GATAAATATTATATAATGGATGGATGTAAAAAAACAAAGGCGGTAAAATGTATATAGTATCAAAGAACACATTTAAAAATGTCAACACAATTAATCTTAATTAGTTTTTGCAATTTTGTCCTAACTGTATTGTTAATTTTTAACAATTTTCCAAGTTTATAGTGGACTGTTTTTGGACATATGTTTATATATAGGTATATATATATACATATATATCATCAACATATATATGAACATATCATTTCAATAGAAAGAAGAACTCACCTTTACAACATATTTTAACACACAAATGAATCAAATAATTAAAATATTCGCCCAGCGTTGATTTATGGTCGGGCATCATCCGGCCGCCTTCCTCACCTGCAGAGGAAAGATCAACATCCAAACAATGGAGCAGCCGAGACCAGATATCATTAGGCTTCTTAACACCTCACAAGACACCGGCAGACTGACATCCAGCCAATTTGGCCCTGAGCTGAGGTAGCTACCAGTAGTGTGCAACCTCACTGTGGACTAATGATGCTCCGAGCCTGTCTTGCCCCCTCCACAGGCCCGTTTGATCAGGTACAGTAGGGAGCCGGCGTGACGTGAAGTCGACTATACATTCAGCACTATTTACCTGTTTGAAATTCATCGTAAGTTTGGCAGATGATCAACCGCAGAGTTATTTAAACCGCGGCGTATCAGCCTGGCGAAATATAGCAGCTGTCAGAGTGTGGAGTAAAATTAAGAGAGGGAGAGCGGGTCAGAGAGAGAGAGAGAGAGAGAGAGAGAGAGACATAAACACGTCTGTGAACAAAGCGTGCGGCGGTGTGATATGCTGAGTTTTCCAGCGTCACATAAAAAAGGGCTGGAGAATTAACCATAATGTTGACTTTGATTATAAAGCACACGGTTTGAATTATGTGGCAGCGAGCAGACCATGGACTCAGGCTGCAGACAGCTGGATGGATGGCACCAAGACAAACATAAGGAGGAAGGATGCATGGTATTTATAGCATCCAGATAACTCTGGCTTGGAAATTGACAGGCCCACCTAATGATGCTCCTCAAAGTGGCATGGATGCAGACGAGTGGACCTCTTCAAATGGGAGGCCAATCCCTGCTGACACAGGGGATAATAGCCCAGCATTGAGCCCATTGTCTGGGCACCCCACACCATGGCATTTGGAACGGAGCGGCCCCTGTTCCTGCGGACAAATGATCCGCACTCTGCCAGGGGACGTCAGCCACCGTGTCGCTCAGTCAGTCCGTTCACATGAGAGATGATGGCAGAGGCCACTTTCTCTTAACCCTATTAGGGCATGAATAATTACCCCAGCAGCAACAAATGGGGCATCTATTTTTAATGGTATCTATCCATCCATCCAACTGTCCGTCCAACTGTCCATCCGTCCGTCCATCTGCCCATCCATCCAACCGAGTGCAGTGTTTACCCCTGTTGGGTCACCGAGTGTACACAATAGTAATAATGCACATAGTTAAAAAAATGTACTGCAAACAAATACACTTTTGGGTACTCCACAAAAATAATTGCGCAATAAAGACAATTCTGCAGACTTGGCAGATTTTTGCCAATGATTTGTTTGCACTTTCTCCTATACAGATATAAAATATGAGGGTAGGTCAAAAAGTTCCAAGACAAATTGATCTGTTGATATATTTCTCATCATCTGCATCTGGCTACATCACTTGTTGGACCAATCAATTAAATCCATGCGATTCATGCGATTAATTAATACACTATCTGGATATCTGTCTGTCTGTCTCTCTGTCTGTTTGTCTGTCTGTCTGTTTGTCTGTCTGTCTGTTTGTCTCTCTGTCTGTCTGTTTGTCTGTCTGTTTGTCTGTCTGTCTGTTTGTCTGTCTGTTTGTCTGTCTGTCTGTTTGTTTGTCTGTCTGTCTGTCTGTCTCTCTGTCTGTCTGTTTGTCTGTCTGTTTGTCTGTCTGTCTGCCTGTCTGTCTGTTTGTCTGTCTGTCTGTTTGTTTGTCTGTCTGTCTGTCTGTCTATCTGTTTGTCTGTCTGTCTGTCTGTCTGCCTGTCTGTTTGTCTGTCTGTCTGTCTGTCTCTCTGTCTGTTTGTCTGTCTGTCTGTTTGTTTGTCTGTCTGTCTGTCTGTCTGCCTGTCTGTTTGTCTGTCTGTCTGTCTGTTTTTTCTGTCTGTCTGTCTGTTTGTCTGTCTTATAATTGCTAGTAAACAAAGAGAAACACTCCACAGTCATTATAGACCCACCCACAGCTGCCACAGGGGCCTCCATTAAGCCCAGTGTTCCTGAGATGCTCTGGTCTTATCTGATTCATCAACAAGAGGTTGGCTGGCATGATTTATCTATGCCACTTACTTGTTTTCATTTTGCCCGGGGGCTGCTGCCAGCGTCAGGGGCTTCTTTTTTTCACACTGTGACAGCTCCATCTCAGGAGAAAAGACTCCCCATGCAAAAACACTGCATCAAAACAAATAAGGCGCAAGCCACTTAAGAGAAGTGGCGGCATGCAGGACCCATTTTCTCTACACGTCAACCAAAATGATGCAACGGCACGAACAAATCTGCATTACTTCTGTGCTTATGCCTTTTGTCTGGAAATTATACGTATGCAGCCGAACCAGGGGCTTGAGTGCAAAAAATACTTCCAACTCCAATTTGATTGTTGGTTGTTGTGTTGCTTTTTATTCCAACTACAAACCCGCACCTTAAATGATGCATATATTTTTTTATTGGTTTTCTGTAGGTTTGTATTTACTCAGCGTCTTTTATGAAAATTCTCCACTTCCCGGTTTACATCTCACATCCCTTTTTCACTACTTCCCAAATCCACAGGCAACAGGACGCTCTTGTACATTAAATAAGAACTGTCACCCTGGGCAACTTGCAGCAATGAAGCATTTATTCTGCCTCACATTTCCTGGCACTTAGAATTATTTCCTTCATGCCTGATAACCAAATTACAATATGGCAGGTCTCCCCGGAGCCACAGGATTGTTAGTGCCAGCTCACAACATACTTTCAACTGATGTGGCATTTCATGTACAGCTGCCAATCAAAGCCGGCAGAAGGGAGAGATGTAAATGAGGGCGGGACCGACGGTGTTCAATTACTGCTCTGAGCTCTGCATAATCCCCCTTCCCACTGAATGACTGACTGACAGCTCCGCATTCCTCCTCATCCCCAGCTTTCTCCCCTAATTTCACTACCTGGGCTTTTGCCTCAGACTGGGACGCAGCAGCCGACACTGGAGTGGATTTGCTGTCAGTTTTATTTCCGTTTAGAATATTGCAAAAATGGATTATCCAACGTCTGAATGCCTGAATAGACTGGGAGGAAGTATATTTTGCTTACGCTCATACACGGCGTTTTGTGACAAAAAGCCGAAAGGCAAACAGAGACCATGCCTCTGGGCCGCGTCGCCGTCGTATCTCTCTCTCTCAGCCGGATACTGTTTTACCATTAGAAAAATGTGACTTTCGGCGGCAGAGAGGGTCGAGACACCCTGAGATACTCTGAAAGAATCTTTGGTAAATACTCAGATTAAGTGGATCTATGAATAGCGCCGGTATCTTTGCGCGTTCCGTCATAAAGGCGCCTTTGGATTCCTTCTAATCCCCATGTTAAAGGTACGCCAGCTGAATGGCTTAAGCGGTGTTCTGCTTGTGACTGCTTAGGTTTTTTTCGTGAGCGAGCGTTTTAATGCCACACTGTATCATTGGGCGTAATACGCCTGGCTTCATTTAATTTCGAAATATCAAATTGTTTTTCTCCACACTCACCTGATTCCTGCCCGCCGCCGTCTTTGTCACTCACCCTCCTCGTCTGACTGAAACTGGCACTTTTGTTGCATTCCAAGAGGTTGATAAATCAATCCATCAAAAAATTCTTTGCGGTGAAACTCAATCAAGAAAGGTCATGTCGGCGGGAAAAGAACAGATTAAATTAGCATTGAATTAGACATGGAAAGTGAGCTCTGTCAAAACCATCACTGTGCTCAGCACAATTAGAATATGTTAATTATGCATTTCATTAAGGGGCCTCAGCGCTCTTTGAATGTGAGATGAAATGTCACTGGTGTAGGCAGCCGAAAAATGGAAGATTGCCAGGCACAACTTTCTTTGTGCAATGTGTGACACCTTCATTAACATTAGGGATTGCTAGTCTGATTAGACTTTTTATATTAGTTTAAGCCTTTGGGCTTTCAAAGGCTATGGCTTTTCTCTCCAGTTTGATGTGGCAGCTCAGGCCCTTCTCCATTTCCAAG